TGTAGCATCCAGCTCAGTAGCACCCAACTGCCAGGTTGTGTCAATAGAGAAAGATCAAAAACAAAACTGAAAAAGATACTGGGCTTACAGAGAGAGTTCCAAATATGATTTGTTAAGAGCGTCTACCTCTGGAGTAGCCCTTTTATAAGGCAGCCCATTTATTTCTTAGGGGCGGAGGGTGCAGCTATTTTCAGATTAAAGAGCAAGGCTTGGTTTTCTGGAGACCTGGCCATCTGGGGCTGTGCAGTCTCACACTGAATTTACAGGCTGCTCTCTTTCAGGACGGTGGAGGGGGACTTCGAAGGAATCGGAAGGAAAGGCAAGGCTTGTGTGCAGCTGGCTCGGATCCTGCAGTACTTGGAGTGCCCGCAGTAAGTCTACCGTGGTCAGACTGCATCCGGTTTGCATCAGAACTGCCTACCATGGGTATCTCACGCTAGAGGCTATGGGAGCAGGAGGCAAATGCTGTTTCTATTGCATAATTATGCAGGAAGACAGGATCTAATTGTTTCACGTGACTGGTTCAGGAGTTTAACTAAAAGAAGAGCAGTGAATGCAGGATACAACCTGCATGATACATTAGAGGTAGATCAAGGACTCGAGGGAGCTAAGCATGCTTTTCTCTGTACTCAGCTCCTTTGAGTCAGAACAGGGCTAGAATTGAGGGTTGGATTCCTTAGAAACAACTGTTTTTGCATTTGAACCTTCTCTGATAACAGGTACCTGAGGAAATCCTTTTTTCCAAAACATGAGGATCTGCAGTTTGCAGGTAATGACTCAGTTGTCTCTGTCCCAAGCTGTTGCCTCCCCCTTCCTGAGCTCTGGCTCTTGTTTTGCACGGCATGCCCGGAATTGAAAAACTTTTCCCCACTTTAGAGCACAGGCGAGGTGCTGTGCCGTGGTACGCTGGAGCAGAGAGGGAGGGGGCAGCAGAGCGGCTGTACTCACGCCTGTGTTCCCACAGTTTGCGTCCTCGCCTTAGCAGTTGCTTTCCTCTGCGCTCTTCTAGGGCTGCTCAACCCCTTGGACAGCCCCCACCACATGCGGGTGGATGAGGATTCAGAGTACCGAGAAGGCGTCGTGTTGGACCGGCCAACTAAGCCAGGCAGAGGCTCTTTTGTTAACTGTGGGATGAGGAAGGTATGCCTGTTACCCACAGATCCCAAAACCATTTCCCCTGTCTCTCCAGCAGATTTGAAGCAGGCCAGGTGGGTACTGCTGAGTTTCTGAAGGCCATAGTGGGCTGGCATGGAGTTTAATGCTGCTGCTGTCTTGCCCCTTCTGGCTCGTTAATGGTTGTAGCTTCCCAAGTCCTGGCAGGCCTGCCTGTTCCAGCACATCATTGCTTCACTGCTGAAGTTGAACCTTTGAGCAGCAAAATAAGTCTCAGATTGCTGACCTGAGCCTGCACTGCATGAACCACACAGGCCCCGATCACAGATCTCCTCTCTCCAGCTCTAGGCCAGAACAGACCCCCACTTCCTTGAGGGTTCCCTTCCTTCCCCACCTTCCCCAATACTTCCAGAATGTCTGACACTGATGGTGACTGTCACTGCAGGAGGTACAGATCGACAGACAGCTGAACCCCGGTCTGCGAGTCACTGTGCGCCTGGAGGAACCCCAGAAGCCAGGTAAGCCACTGCTCCATTAGCATCGGTAAACTTCAGTCCTGCAGGAGTTGGTCCTTCCATATGACAGCCTTCAGATTACTCATGTTCAAAGGTACCCAACAGCTCTGCGTGTTCCCTTCGCTCCACACACAATTTTAATAACACCCTTACCGTACCTCCCTGGTTAGCTCCTAGAGGAGCTGCTCTTTGACCAACAATCAACATCCCAAACGTAATTGCACGCTTTCCAGAATGCGCTCAAAAGGGCGGTTCTTGGTTGGACACCAAGGCAGTGCCCTGCCCCAGGAGAAACCGCCGTACGTGGCTGGTCAGATCCAGCCCTCGCTAGGAGATCACAGGGGCTGTTAATCTCCTTGCTTCCCTTTCAGAAGCTAAAGTGCGGAAAGGCACCGTGGTGTCCTCACAGCACCCTCGGACAGTCTCAGGCTTGTACTGGGGTTACAGCGTCCGCCTTGCCTCCTGCCTGAGTAAGTATTTGCAGGGGTTCCCTGTCTTCTGCCATGTCTCTTCCTGGGCTTCCATCCCAATTTCAGGCCTATTGGCTGCACATCTGCAGCACACATTAACATCTCTTTCTTTGAAATCTCTTTTGTCTCAAAGGCAGCTTACACGTGCAGCTAGCAGCCATGTGGCAATCAAAGTTAAGGCTAAAGCTAGGGGTGTGAATCACCCCAGTCACCCACCAGTACTCTGCCCTGTACTTCCACTCACCGTTGCGCCAAATGTCCATGCTGTAGCAGGAGACAAGAGTTGGTGCTCTCCATCTCCAGCCCGTACATCTCCATTTCATGATAACTGCCTCCTGCTCATTCACATCAAAGCCAGCAGTGACATTTGAGCTCAAGAGCCCTGCAAGATCCTTTTCCTGTCTTCCGATTGATTGGACCTCCTAGGAAAATCGTAAGCCATTAGTCAAGGAATGGCTTCTGGCACCTGTTTGAGCTTTGAGGAAAAGGTGCTGCAGCTGCGAAGGGTGCCAGAGACTCCTGCAACAAGGGAATTATGTAGGAAAGAAGAATCATTCTGTCTCCTGATGCACTAGTGGCACCGAAAAGCAATTCCTTCTGCTGCTACCACTCACCTGTGCCCCGTGAATAACCCTGTATTGTGTTTGTTTCCCAGGCGCTGTCTTTTCAGAGTGCCCGTTCAAGGAAGGCTACGATCTCTCCATTGGGACCTCAGAGCGGGGCAGCTCCGTGGACCAGGCCACTCTCCCCTCCTTCAGGTTCGTGTCCTGCCCGCTTGGTGCCACTCTGAGCCCCCAGGGAGGCCTGGTGCAGGCAGCAGGGCCGCACTGTGGCCTTGGTGTTCTCCCAGGCAGGAACGCTCCTAGATACAAGTGCAAGACTTGTCTGCAGGCTCCCTCCTGTGCTCTGCTGCTCCCTTTTGCACCAATGTGCATCCCTCTGCGTGACAGAAGCTGGGGGAAGTACCCCAGGACAAAGTTGATCCCCTTCCTGCTTCTCTGGAGCTGGTAGCAGGGACTGTCACAGTGGCCAGGTGCTGTGGGGCTTTTTTAGGGAGGCAGCTGCATTGGGCATTGTCAGCAAGGGACACAGCTCCCTGCTCCAGCAGCACGGAGGAGCTTGAACCCACATACCTGAACAAAAGAAACGAGCCTGCTTCTTGCAGATAAAGTTAAGAGAACTGGTTATGTGAAGCCAATTCTTAATCCACTTGAAGGTTCGAGGCACACAAGCAGCTCTCCTATGTAGAGTTTGTAGCATCTGCCTTGGTACAGGTGTAAGAGCCAGTCTCCCCTCTCACCCCGTCCCTGTGCTCTCCCCTAGGCATGCCCTCATCGTGTTTGGAGGTCTTGAGGGCTTGGAAGCTGGGGTTGACGTGGACCCAAACCTGGAGGTCACCGACCCAAGCGTCTTGTTTGACTTCTACCTGAACACTTGTCCCAGCCAAGGCAGCAGAACCATCCGGACAGAGGTAGGCGGCTAATGGCGCGGTGGGCACGATGCTGGTGTGCACAGAGCAGCACTGTGTTTCTGCCTCTGGCAGTGACACATATGGCCCACACCTCGTTCCCAGTGGTGACGCCTCAGCAAAGAGCGGCTGGCTCGCCTGGTGCTCCTCAGAGAGCAGCGGTTCTGACCGCTGCCTGGGTCTGTTCCAGGAAGCACTGCTGATCTCCCTGTCTGCGCTGAGACCCCACATCGATGAGGCTGTGAAGACACCCAGCGACAGCTGAGGGAAAGAAAACCACTGACCTTGCCCTCAGCTGAGGACTACCTTGAGGAAGCGGCTGTTCAAAGGCGGGGTGCTGGGCAAATTGCTCCAAGAGCCTGGCAGGGCCAAGACACAGCGTGACTAAAGCTGGCAGCACTGCTCGACCAAGTGTCGGGCTGCCGTTGGGACCAGCAAGTGTGTGCCCTCCTGCCTGTGTGGCCCAGCCTGCAGCGGCTGGGACAAGCCTGGCAACAGACTGGGAATTTAGCAGAATTTACCAATTCAGACATCTGGGGTGGGGAATAAAGCAGTGCGGAACCTCAGCTGCCTCGAAGTTTATGTGTGTGTCCTGGTGTAGAGGATGGGCACTCGGCGTCCGGAGATCTGCATGCTCTCTGCCTCTGGAGCCATCTGGCCTTCAGATTTAAAGGAAGTCCAAACTTAATCCTTATTCCAAGAAGCTGTTCCTGTCTCAGTTATCCTGACTTCCCCCAGCCCCCCTTCAACTCCAAGGCTTCATCTTTCCTAACAGGAAGGGCTGGAGCTTCAGCTGGGCCTCAGCGCTAAAGCACATCAGCACAGCTCCTTACAGTTTGGCTCCATCTACGCTGCCTTAAGCTCTGCCTACAGTGAGCTCAAATAGGAAGGCAGCTGGAAAAGTTGGCTCTGTCCTCCCACCTCCTGCTGAGATAGTCAGAGCTTTGGTACGAGCAGATAAGAACCAATACTGTGGGTGTTCAAAGCTTTACTGCTAAAACCATCTTCTGAAAGAAAACAATCATACAGGGCTTTGGCCACAGAAAGGCAGGAACCTCTCCTCCCCCCCTGCACCCACCTTGCTCCCATTCTTCCCTGCTAAATAGCAGAAGTTAAGGAACTTCCCTTTGTGTCTTAATGAGCCACACACAGCTCAAAGGGAGCCATTACAGGGGTAGGCTCCACTGGTACTGCACCTCAGGGGCAAATTTTAAAGACCTACAATGGCGTCGGGTGCCTGGGAGCCTTCTGCAGGACCTGCCCTTGAGACCTGCTGCGTGTGTTTCACTGTTAGGCAAAACGAGGGGAAGGGTAAGGAGAAGCACGGGTTTGATTCCTATTTCTCACATGTAAAATTGCACAAGGAACTACTGTTCTGCAGGCGACTGCTGTCAGTCCCTTGCCAGGGGATACCTGGATTCGTTTAGTCGGGGTTCAACGCTTGTTTCCAGCTGTGATGGCTTTCAAGTTACTTGTTCGCTTCAAGATGTTTGGGACAAAGAGGAGCCCCGAGGCTCGCTCAATGCTCTCAATGGGAACCAGGAACCGTTCCAGGGGGATTTTCTCATCCACAGGGCTGTTGGGCATCACGTACGAGCGCAACTCAATCTCCCCGCTCTCCTTTTCCAAGATGAGCACTTTGAAGAAATGGGTGGGGACGGCCACGTTGTTCTTCCCAATCACCTGGTACTTGACGTACATCTTCCCATCAGCCTCCATCCTGCGCCAACAGCAACGTCCCACGTTACCTCCTCGGCTGGTGCCGCAGCCGCCCCCTCAGCCCTCCACCGCCGCCCCTAAGTGAGCCCCCGCCCCACAGCGTGGCAGGGAGCAGCCCTGCTTCTGTGGCAGGGGTGTAAAAACTGCTGAAATGGAGGCTACGTGACACGGTGAGGCCGAGCAGTGTATTGGGTCTGTGCTCCCCCAAATCCCTTCCCTGCTGTCTCTCTTTACCAGCCTTCCCAAGCTGCTTCTCCTGC